GCCTCCCTCCCGTCGCCGCCCTCCAGTCGCTCCCTCCAGTCGCCTCCCTCCCGTCGCCGCCCTCCCGTCACTCTTCAACACCTTGAACCGGACATGGCCACCGACGCTTCCCCACCTTGAATCAGACATGACCCACCTGTTTGTATAAAGAAAGATGCATCTATTTAGGGTTTTAGATGAAGAGGGTAGATTAGGAATACATACCTCTTACTACGGTAAGATTCATTTTTTTTGCTGACTCCAGTAAGAGGACGGTCAGAGGTCGAAAATCTGATTGTTGATTTTGCTGTTAGGTAAACACTTTTACCTCTTAACCGGGTAAGCATCTTTTAACGGGTAAGAGGTGGTAAGAGATTAGTAAACAGCCCCTTAGTTAATAACATGACATATTATTTTTTATTTTAATTCAATGTTAATTAAAATATAAACATTAATTTCAAATAAACTATTAATATATGATATAATAGTATAATATAATATAATATAATTATTTTATTTATTTTATAATTTATGGTTTTAAATTTAATATATAATTTATTAAGTTATATCAAAACACAATATTTATTGAATTAAAATAGTACATATAGATAGAAATAAAAATTACCTTAGTCATTGTTTTCTTCTCCTTCAAATCGCCTCCAAATCTCTTCAACCAAATCCGCTTGCAGTTGATTGTTGTGAGTCATGTTACGTATTATTGCATGACTTCGAAGATAAGTTTCATACTCAGGAAGATGATTTCGAGAAACTTGAGGCATAGATATACTGAAATTAGCATCATCTGTAAAATCAAATTGACGGATGTATAAGTCACGTTCATCTTCCACAATCATATTGTGCATTATTAAGCAAGCTCGTAGTATTTCTCCAATTATTTTCTTGAACCACATCCGTGATGAACCTCTAACCATAGCAAATTGTGATTGTAATACTCCAAACGCTTTTTCTACATCTTTCTTAGCCGATTCTTGTTTTTTTGCAAATAGTTGATGTTTTTGACTTTGGGGCAACGAGATGAACTTCACAAACGTAGCCCAATTAGGGTAGATTCCATCTGCAAGGTAGTATCCTAAACTATAGTTGTTACCAATATACCTCATCATCCTCAAATACAAACACGTCGACCCCTGAGCTAACGTCGACTGCTCGTCCAATGGGAAGGAAAGCTTCAAAGGATAAAGGTAAACAAAAGTCTTTATCAACCAACTCTATCGACCGTATCGAAGAGGCGATGAAAGAACAATTCAATCTTGATGCTGAAAAAGTAGAAGCAATGAACAAATATACATAAGCTATAACAGAACGAGAGAGAAAGAAAGAGAAACGAGAGAGAAAGAAAGATGAACTTAAAAAAGAAGAATTGGCAATCAGGTTGATGTAAATGAAACATTTAATTATGATAGAGCAACAACGAAAACTGTACAATAGAAAAATTCGTTAAGTTTTAGACGAATAAAGATGTAATTTTATTTTGTGTTGTTTTATTAATCGTGCATGTTATATTAGTTATATGTAATTTTATATATTTGATTAATTGTAATTTTACATAATTATAAAATTTAATGTTTAAATTAATTTAGTTATTTTATACTTATAATTTTTTTAAAATAACATATATACCCTCAAAACCCTATTTCTCTCAACCTGAAACTTCCCTTATTTTCTCTCCCACCTCCAGACCGGCCACCGTCGCCGCCCTCCC